ATTAAAATGCAGATTTCTGGCAGTCCCCAAGCTGAAAACCAAAATCTCAGCGGGGTAGAGTCCAGGAGTCTGCATTTTAACTACATTTTTATCTGCATTTAAGGCCAGGAAAGTTTAAGAAACAGTGAGAGATGCTATTCATTGCCACCAAGTCTGGTCCAACTCAGAGAGATTCAGTGTAGAACTGCCCCACAGGGTTTTCAAGGCTGTAAATCTTTAGGGAAGCCGACCACCACATCTTTCTCTCAAGGAGTGGCTAGTGGATTTGAACCTTCCACCTTTCTGTTAGCAGACAAACAATTTAACCACTACACCACCAGGGCTCCTTAGTGACATACTTGTTGTTAAGTACCTTAGAGTTGATTCCAACTCATAGGGTTTCTGAGGAGCAACTGGTGAGTTTGAACCAACGGCCTTGTAGTACAGTGCTTACCTTACAGCACCATACCAGGATTCCTTGTGCATCTTTGCGGAAGTAGAAAATCTCATCTTCCTCCCATGGTGGAGCTGGTGGGCTTGAACTACTGACCTTATAGTTCACAGTCCAGTGCTTAACATACAAAGCCACCGCGCTCCCTAGTGACATGCTACTCAGCCAGAAAGAAAAGTAAAACCTGGATGAACCTTGAAAACATCACACTGAACTAAATAAGTTAGTCGCAAAAGGGAAAATGCTGCGTGATATGAATTAACCAGATATAGGTCCAGTTGAAGGAGCTCTGGTAGCATAGTGGTTACGAATTGGGCTGCTAACCTCAAGGTCAGCAGTTTGAAACTACTAGGTGTTCCACAGGAGAAAGATGAGGCTATCTGCTCCCACAAAGATTTACAGCCTCGGAAACCCTGTGCAGGGTCACTATGAGTCAAAACCGACTTTGTGGTACTTAACAACAACAGGTCAGTTTGAACCTCAAGGTTGGTGGTTCAAACCCACCAGCTGCTCCTCGGAAACCCTATAAAGGGTCACTGTGAGTCAGAACTGACTTGATGACACTTAATAACAACAAGAAACCTAAGGGAGTCCTGGGGACACCCTGGGCATCAGGATGCAAACCACAAGGTCGGCATTTCACTACTGGCTGGCCAGTCCTCAAGAGAAAGCTGTGTCCTTAAAGATGACAGCTCTGGAGACCCTGTGGGGCAGTTCTACCCTGTTCTATAGGGTCACTGTGACTGGGAATCAGGGAGCCTTGGTGGCGCAGTGCGTCAACTCAATGGCAGTGGGTTTGGTTTTTGATAGAGAAACTCAAGATTATTAGATTATTATCAGGGAGGGGAAGGAGGAGAGAAGATTGAGCTTTTGATTAGGGGTCAGTGAGTTTATGAGTGAGATGGAATGATTTGGAAAAAAGGAAGGACAGCAAGAATGTCAGCTGCATCACTGAATGATATGAGCGAGTAGAAACTGTTCAGATGGCATTATGGGTCTTTGCAACATAATTAAAGAAGAAGACGAAACAGTGACAGAAATGATGACAACGGACTGGCCTCCCTTAGCCACCACTGTGACCCCCTACATCACCCAGTCCAGGGCTGGGGCTAGAAAAAGCACTCAGATGTTGTGAGTAAAACAAATGATTTGGGTATCCACCTTCTTATTTCTAGCTGCTTCAGCCCTGGTGGGCAGGGGGTTTAAATTGCCCCAGCTGCTCCGAAGAAGAATGATGAGGAGTCCACTTCAGTGAAGGCTTAAGAGCAGTGATTTTGACCAGGCTCCTGACCACCATTTCGCATGCATATGAGATATTTTCAATAACCTCATCTGCATGCAAAAGCTAGGCAATGAATAAGAAAGGCCATAGAAGAATTGATGCTTTTGAGTTATGGTGTTGGAGGAAACTATTGAAAGTGCCATGGGCTGCCAAAAGAACCAATAGATCCGTGTTGGAAGAAGTGCAGCCAGAGTGCTCCTTGGAGGCCAAGATGGCCAAACTTCGTCTCTCATACTTTGGACATATTGTCAGGAGGGACCAGTCGCTGGAGAAGGATATCATGTTTTGGTAAGGTGGAGGGTCAGAGAAAAAGAGGAAGACCCCCAACGAGATGGATTAGCAAAGTGGCAGCATCAATGGACTCAAGCGTGGCAACAATAGTGAGGTTGTCCGAGGATCGGGCAGTGTTTTGTTCTGCTGTGCATAATGTTGCTATGATTTGGTTACCAACTCGATGGCACCTAACAACAACAACAACGTCACCACCACACCAGCGCCAAGCTGCTCTAATTTTTTCCTCATACTTTCCCCTCCAACCATAGGAAACTCTTCTTGGTTTACCAGCTTATCCAAACTTTCCTCACGTTCAGACTTTGGCACTCGATCATTTCCTCTGTCCATATGCTTTTCTGGCTCCCGTCGCTGACAGGTCTGACACCTGTTAATAACTTTCTCTGATTTCTTTTTGTGACAAAATGTAGTGAAATCTTCAGTAATGTTTTTATTTTTACGTGCCATCAAATCGGTTCTGATTGAACAAAATACTGCCCAGCCCTGCACCAACCTCACAATCATTGCTATGCTTGATCCCATTGATGCTGCCACTGTGCCAATCCATCTCATTGCAGGTCTCTCTCTTTTCTGCTGATCCTCCACTTTACCAAGTATGATGTCCTTCACTAGGAAATGGTCCCTCCTGATAACATGTCTGAAGTGTGAGAGACCCCAACTTATAGCAACCCTACAGTACAGAATATGAGATAGCATCAAAAAGTTGGTAGAAATGTTCCGTTATCTTGCAATTCCATTTTTCCATGAACTTTTTAAAATTTTATTTTAACTTCTTATTGTGACTTAGAGGAATCCAGTTTACTAAGTAGATTGGTTTTCCATTCAACACATGATACACATTTTGTTTAATGTCATTGATTGCTATCTCCACAATGGAACATCACTTCCTCCCTGTCTTTCCCATTTCCATTCCTCCTCCTTTCCTAACCCTTGTGAACTTTGTCCTTGGGTAAATGCTGCCCTTTTGATCTCAAATGGTTGATGAGTCTAAGATGTGCAGACCTCCTTAGTGTGACTATTCCTCTTATGTTGTTGTTGTTGTCAGGTGCCATCGAGTCGGAACCGACTCATAGCAACCCCATGCACAGCAGAAAGAAACAATGTCCGATCCTGGGCCAACCTCACTACCGCTGCCACACTTGATGCCATCAATGATGCCACCTGTCCAATCCATCTCGTTAGGGGTCTTCCACTTTTTCTCTGACCCTCCACCTTACCCAGCATGACATCCCTCTCCAGCGACTGTTCTCTCCGGACAATGTGTCCAAAGTATGAGAGACGAAGCCTAGCCATCTTGGCCTCCAAGGAGCACTCTGGTTGCACTTCTTCCAAAACAGATCTACTGGTTCCTTTGGCAGTCCATGGCACTTTCAGTATTCTCCTCCAACACCACAACTCAAAGGCATCAATTCTTCTACGATCTTCCTTATTCACTGTCCAGCTTTCACATCCATATGAGGTTATTGAAAACACCATGGCTTGGGTCAGGCACACCTTAGTCCTCAAGCTGACATCTCTGCTCTTCAATACTTTAAAAAGTACCTGTGCAGCAGATTTGCCCAATGCAATACGTCATCTAATCTCTTGACTGCTGCTTCCACGAGTGTTGATAGATGATCCAAGAAGAATTCCTCTTATAGACCTGTCTAAAGTTTGATTGAAAATTGAGTAATACAGTTGGGTTCATTTCCAGACTGAAGTATGACTAAGGATCATAGTCTTGGAGGTTCCAACAGCTCATCTAACCAGTAAGCCTGGTCTTCTGTGTGATTTTGAGTTTGGTTCCATCTTTTGTCCTACTCGGTCCAGGATCTTCTATTGTGATCCTTTCGAGAACAGTTGGTAGTGGCAGTATAAAACCATCTGGTTTTTCTGGTCTCAGACTCGTACCATGAATTTTTGAAACCCTCCTCATAGAACTGCCCCAGGCTGTAAGTCTTTATGGAAGTCAAATGCTGCATCTTTCTCCCTGGGAGCAGCTGGTGGATTCTTATCATTGACCTTTTAGTTAGCAGCTGAACAGTTAACCACTGAGCTATCAGAAGGGGTAGGATTCAGAACAATACTCAACTTCACCAGTGTCTCTCTGCTCTCTAGGGCCCCCCTCCCCCATTGCTCACCCAGTCTACTCTTCTACTCTTGATCTCTCTCACTCTGCTTCCAATGGGGGGTGGGGGTGGCAAATCTGGCTAGGAGGTTTAGATGAGTGGGAGAGAAGCTGGCTGGGACCAGTTCCTATATTTTCTTCAGTGTGGGGGCAGGAGGTGGGATCCACCTAGCCAGTTTAGGTCAAAACCCTCCCATCTTCCCCTCGACACTTCCTTAAGGTTCTCGGAGTCCAGGGTCCTAAGTCCTCCTTCATGCCTCCATGTCTGGCCCCCCTGTTGGAGGGGATGGACATCAAACAATCTGATCTAAGCCTAAGCCCAACAATTTTGGGGGACTCACTTCTCCATACTTGGAGGGCCTTGGTTCTGGGAAACGCTGCTAGGAGCTTTCCATCCCAGCCCAGCCCCCTGACACTTACCTGCTAAGTGCCACCTGGGGTCTCTCAGGCCTTCCTTTAGTCCCAGATCCTCCCTGAGGGGGAAAGCTTTAGGGTCTGAGGCTGAAAGAACACACTTGGGAAGCCTTTTTTTTTTTTTTTTTTTTTCATACGTGCATCATGTTTATTTGCAAAAGGTCCATAATATTTGAACATACTACACAGCTTATAATTTGTCAGGCACCAGCCAAAGCACCGCTGTTTACACATGAACTGGTTCCACCTCTCCATGAAGTCTGAGGGCAGCGCTACAATTGTCCCCATTTCACAGCCCAACAAATTGAAGCTTGCTGGAGAGTTTTGTGACTTGCCCAAGGTCATCCAGCTGCTAAGCAGTGAGATTCAAAGCCAAAAAGACATTTCATGAAGGTCACTACACTGACTCACAAAGCCGCGGTTTTCCTTCCTGAAAGCAACCAGGTGTAGCAGTTTCTGTGAGTTCTTACTGAGATAGTATCAGAAACAGATGCTACCATGTCGTATTCTTTCATTTTCTTCCGGACCCTGCTTTTCTCTTTCTCTTGTTTTTTTGGGTGTTTTTTTTTTTTTTGCATGGAGGACTATATTATTTTTCAGATTAACTTTTTTTAAAAAACTTTTTATTGTGAATTGTGTGAAGGTTTACAGAGCAGATCATCCATTCAACAATTCATACGCATTTTGTTTCTTCTCACAGATTATAATCTATCCAATGTAATTTATCCCACTCCCTCCCTGTGTTTCCTGTTTCCATTCCTCTGTCTTTCCTAACCCTTTAGAACTTCGTCTTTGCGTAAATGCTGCCCTTTTGATCTCAAATGGTTGATTATTCTAAGGACTACATACTTCCACAATGCTATTGCTGCCTTTATACACCTGTTTAGCATTTGGCTGAAAATTGAACCATGGGGTTGAGTTCAATTCCAGGCCTCAAGGGTGGCCCTGGGGTTCTACCAGCTGCACCTTGCTTTTAACAATATTTCTTGGTCCTGGATTTATTTTTAAACTGGCTCTGCAGTTCAATTCTCCATTTTTTTCTTAGTGGGAAAAAAAGTACATATATGAGTTATTGTTATTAAAGTACATTGAGTTGGTGCCAACTCATAGTCTGTCTGGAATACCCTTCTCCTTGTGCCTTCTCAAAGACCCTGGTGGCATCGAGGGTTAAGTGTTGAGCTGCTAATTGAAAAGTTTCTGAGGAGCGGCTGGTGAGTTTGAACCACCAACTTTACAGTTCAAACCAACCTTGCACTCCAGTGCTTATCCTACAGCGCCACACCAGGATTCCAATAGGCTGTAGGACTTGATGGCACTTAACAACAACATATATATGTATGTATAATTTTTTAATCACCTTCTGAAACACAAGATAACTTACTGGACTTGTTTTTTGGTTTTGTTTTTTTGATATTACCTCATGGACTGTCTTCCCTTTGATTGAATGTGGATTCAAATGGAAAAGGGATTCTATCAGTTTTGTTCACAATTACATCCCCAGCACAAGAAGGTGTTTGAGAAATACTGGTTGAATAGATAGATCTTGGAGACTGTTATGTGTAGATGCATGGATCTCTGATGTTTCACAGTGTTTCAGTGTCTTGTTGAATGATTCCAAGAATGGTCACATGGCTAGCTGAAGAGTTTGGACTTTATCTCAAGGGAGGTCTCTGCAGTCATTCAGAGGGGTTAGAGCTGAGCTATGGGGCATTCCAGGCTCTTCTCAACTCTGGGGTTTTGCATATGTCTGGACTACCCTTTCCCCTTGTACCTTCCCAAGGATCCTAGTGGCATACAGAGTTAAGTGTTGGGTTGCTCATTGAAAGATCAGTGGTTCAAGCTCATCCACTTTGAGGGAGAAAGGCTGTCTACTACCATCAAGACTGATAGTCTGGGAAACCCTAAGGGGAGTTTTACTCTGTCCTATAGGGTGGCTGTGAGTAAATATCAATTTGATGCAGTGGGTTTGATTTGAGTTTTTCTTGGGCTTGGTCTGTCCCCTTCATATCCAAGCTGTGATAACCTTCTCCTCCAAGAAGTCCATCCTAACCCATCCTTGTTCATGTTAAGTATCTCCTCTGAGTTCTCCCATCACAGCTCCGTCCACACTGGGTGATCAATCACTGTAGGGATGAATATGCCTTCTCAACTAACTGGACGGTGTCTCAGTCACTGCTGAGTTCTTAGAACAGAGCCTATCACTGAATAAGAATAGTCCCTTGAAGAAAATATCTCTTCTGGGCAAGGAGTCATGCGGAAGACTAAACTAGGGACCGAAGAGGAAGAGTTGAACGAAGTATTTTATAGAGACCCTGGCCATAGGGGACCGTTGCGATTTAAAGACACTAACAAGCAGCCTAAAATTCCTTTGATGGAATAAAGTTCCTTCGCAATACTCGGTCCCTCTAAATCCTGTCCCCAGATCCGGCATTGTTAATTCAGAAGTTTACGGATACTTGGCCTGGCCCCGCCTCTCGCTGGCTGATTGGCTCCGAGACACTGCAGTCAATGGCGCCGAAAAGTGGCCTCGCCTTCCAAAGCCCCGCCTCTGACCTTAATCCTGGCAGCTTCCGCTGTGCGGGCTCAGAGCCACGGGGCGCGCCTGGGAGTTTCCATCTGCACCAATAGCCGCCACTTCTCTGGACTCCGGACTGCCGCCTACCGCACCCTGGGACCTGGAATCCCCTACTCTAAGACGCAAGGACCACTCTTCCTGGAGCTCCGTTTCTCGGCTTTCGGACCCAGGCACACCAGTCCTCGGTTCCAGCACCCAGGTGCCCAGACTTCCCGCCTCCCGGATCCCGGCGTATGGGATCTGCGCCACGAGAACCTTGTTGTTAGGTGCCTTCGTTCGAGTCGGTTCCGACTCATAGGGACCCTGTGCACAAGAGAACGAAACACTGCCCGGTCCTGCGCCATCCTTACAAGTGTTACATTTGAACGCATTGTTGTTGGCAAGGTATCAGTCAATCTCATTGTGGGGGAGGGAGGTTCTTCCTCTTTTTCACTGACCCTCCACTTTACCAAGCATGATGTCTTCTAAGTACTGATCCCTCTTGACCTGTCCAAAGAACGAAAGACGAAATCTCGCCATCTTCGATTCTAAGGAGAAAACTGGTTGTACTTTCAAGACAGATTTATTTGTTCTTCTGGGAGTCCATGGTACTTTCAATATTCTTTGCTAACACTGTAATTCAAATGCATCAATTCTCCGGTCTTAATCACTGCCCAAATTTCGCATGCATATGAGGTGATTGAAAATACAGTGGCTTGGATCAGATGCACCTTAGTCCACAGACTGACATCTTTGCTATTGAAGACTTTAAAGAGGTCTTGTGCAGCAGATTTGCCTAATGCAACACATCGCTTGATTTCTTGACTGATGCTTCCATAAGTGTTGATGGTGGATCTAAGTCTTTGGCAACTTCAATCTTTTCTCGGTGTATCATGATGTTATTTATTGGTCCAGTTGTGAGGATTTTTGTTTTCTCACATTAAGGTGTCATCCATTTTGTAGTCTTTGATCTTCTTCAGTAAGTATTCAAGTCCTCTTGGCCTCCAAACAAACAAAGGTGGGGCAACTGCATATTGCAGGTTGTTAATGACTCTTCCTCCAATCCTGATGCCACGTTCTTCTTCATATAATCCAGTTTCTCAAATTATTTGCTCATCATACAGATTGAATAAGTAAGGGGAAAGGATCTCCTGCCAACCTTGCCACCGGGACCAAGAACCCCAAGTTCTAGCCTAAGGATTTCCAGCACCAGGATTAAAAAACCCAGGCGCTCCCAACTTCCAACTTGCTGGTGCCTGACACTTTTCTTCCCAAAGTGTAGGGAGCCGGGAAACCCCAGCGCCCAATTTAGGGAGCTCAGACGCTCCAGCTGCCAAAATCCTACTAACCCGTGGACTGTGAACTCACTCTAAGGAAAACTTCCTCCAGAGTGCGTTTACTCATCCTAAAGACCCAAGGAACCCCGGCGTCCTGGGAAGGAACCCCAACTGCTCCCAGCTGCTTGGTGCCTAGGACCCCCAGTGCTTCCCTACGTGATGGCTGATCATCCCAAAGGAGACCCCAAAGGCTTAGCAGCGGCGGCGGAGACCATCAGAAACAATGTCTCCACGTTGGTCCCGGTGGAGAACGAAAACGTGGCGGTTGGCAGCTGCTGCCGTAGCCGAGACCAGGTGCGCCGCTGCCTGCGCGCCAACCTGCTGGTGCTGTTGACGGTGGTGGCCGTAGCGGCGGGTGTAGCGCTGGGACTGGGCTTGTCAAGGGCCGGCGGTGCTTTAGCGCTGGGCCCCGCGCGCCTGGTGGCCTTCGCCTTCCCAGGAGAGCTACTGCTCCGCTTGCTGAAGATGATCATCCTGCCGCTGGTGGTTTGCAGCCTGGTCAGCGGCGCTGCCAGCCTGGACCCGAGTGCGCTTGGGCGCCTGGGCGCCTGGGCTCTGCTCTTTTTCTTGGTCACCACGCTGTTCGCGTCGGCCCTCGGCGTGGGCTTAGCGCTAGCGCTGAAGCCGGGTGCCGGCTTCGCGGCCATCAACACCTCGGTCACCCTGGAAGATAGCAAAGCGACTCCCAGCAAGGAGGTGGTGGATTCATTCCTGGATCTTGTGAGGTCAGATCTGGCGCGCTTCTGGGGGAGGGATGGTGGGACTTGCCACGTGGGTAAGAGCAAGGCTTTGGGGCCTGCAGAGCAGAGGCAAGCATCCGTGGTAGCGCGGTGGGTTAAGTGTTGAGTTGCTTACTGAAAGTTCGAGAATTTGAACCCAGCAGGCAGTAGGTGGTAGAAAGATGAGGCAGCCTGTTTCCATAAAGATTTACAGTCTTGGAACCCCTATAAGCCACTGCATTCAGTGGATTTCCTGACTCTTAGGGCAGAGTAGGACTGCCCCTTAGGGTTTCTGAGGGTGACCTGGTAGGATTGAACCTTTAACCTAACACTTGATCCACACCGTTGTCACCATAACTCCTTCTAAAACTTTTATGGATCAGTTCTACACAGCCCTATAGTGTAGAATGGCCCTGAGTAGGAATTGGCGTGGGATGGGGTGGGAGTGGGCAGTCGACCAGAGACATCCCAAGCACCCTGAAATCTTGAGGGTGATTACAAAGGGTGAGGACAGACATCCAGGGGAGGGGACTTAGGAATTTGGGGGCTGGGAATATGACATGAGAGGAACCCCACAAAGGGGTGATAGTGAAAGAGGACTCATAGAAAGAGAAAGGTATTGTATGGTCTTTGGGGGACGGAAGAGGGACCCTATGAAAGGGAGGGAAACTTCTTGGGAGGGGATCTTTATGTACCCAAGGGCCCCAAGATGAGGCTCTAGATAAAGATTTGCAGCTAAGATCAAAGAACTTGGGATCCCAGGATAGGGAGCACCTGAAGGATCTCAAGATCTGAGCAAACCTCTTCTCACCCCAGGGCTTCTTCTCATGAGACATCACAGATTCTTCATCCGCCCTTTCCCGCCCAGTTCAGCAGAGGCCTGGCTGCTTGTTTCCCCTTTAAATCCTTCTGGCCAGTGCCGGCTCTGTCCAGAAGGGGACCAGTTAGGAAGAGGGGAGGGTCTTTTCTTTCTATCTCTGCTCCTTTCCCCCTCCAGCAACCACGTGGTCTTCCCTGGTTTTTGTGAAAGCAGATAGCTGGGTCCACATGGCCCTGCTTTCCCGCCCTGCTGATTCAGTGTCTCCAAGTGGGGGGACTTCCTGGATGAAGGGCAAGTTAGGGAGGAAATGATGACTCATATAGTAGGGTACCCTTGGCCTCTGGGGTGGAAACTTACGCTGAGATGACGGGGAGAAATGGAGTGGCCAGAACTGCCTAGGCACCTCCTGGCTGAAGGAGATTAGCCAAGTCCCAGCCCAGCTCCGGCCTGGGTGGGTACAGGTGACCTGTAGGCGGCACACCCTCTCCAAGGCTGTTTACACACAGCCGTCCCTTTTTTTTGTCAAGAAAACTGTAACTTACATGTGGTCTGACTCAGGGACTTAACTATGCCATACCGCCACACAGTCTTGTAACCAAGTGCCACATACCCGGACACAGAAAACACTGGAGCACAGAAGTGATATCTTGCACGCAATCTTTTACCAAATGACACAGAGCCACACTCAGGAACACTCATCTTCTGTTACAACAGCTGTCACACACATATACCACTGTGTACTCACACCCCTTTAGGACAAATAGCCACTCGATGATCTCACTGAACACATATATCCACACACATACTCCTACAAGGCCCTACACCAACATGCTCTCACATAATTGTCCAATACCACAGCTGATCGCCCACCAATACTGTCTCACACCTGAACATTAACCCGAACCCCCATCCGGATTCCTGACAAACTGTACTAACTGCGCACATCATTGGTGAGAGGGAGTATGGGTAATGGTGAGGACTTTGGGACTAACAGACTCCTGGTGCGGCACTGTACGATCAGCACTGAACTGCAAACCACAAGATTGGCGGTTCAAACCCACCAGCTGCTTCTCTGAAACCGTATACAGGGTCACTAGGAGTCTGAAGAAACCCCACGGCACTGAACAACAAAAACATAGAGTCAGCCTTTGTTGTTGTTAAGTGCCATCGAGTCAGTTCCAACCCATAGCGACCCTGTATAGGGTTTCTGAGGAGCAGCTGGTGAGCTTGAATCACCGACCTTGCAGTTCAAACCGATATTGAGTCAGCCTATTCTTGTTGTTATGTGCCGAGGAGTCGGTTCCGACTCATAGCAACCCTACACAGGGTTTCTGAGGCTGTAAATCTTTATGGGAGCAGACTGCCTCATCTTTCTTCCATGGAACCGCTGGTAGTTTTGAACTGCTGACCTTGCGGCTCGCACGCAGCCCGATTCATAACCACTACGCTACCAGAAGCTCCGTGAGTCAGGCTATAGTTAGGTTCAAATCTCAACTCTACCACTTCCTAGCTGGGCAAGTTTCTTTACTGTACCTTTTTTTTTTTTTAATTGTACAATAAAATAATAATGTCATGCCAAGGGGCTGTTGTGAGGATTGTCGCTTGCTGCTATAGAGTTGAGCTCCAGAGCATTTTCAAGGGCTGATTTTTGGGGGCTGTAGATTGCCAGACCTTTCTTCAAGGAGCCTCTGGGTGGACTCGAACTTTCAAACTCTAGTTTGACAAACCAAGTTCAGGTAGCAGACACATTGCTAAACAGTATGCATCTCCCAGGGATTCCTGTGGTGAGGATTTAATAAATTAATTTCCTGAAAGCACTTTAGTGCCTGGCACACAGAACATGCTGTAGGCATCCTGACTGTCATTTTCATTTCACCTTTTAATCTCAACACGAGGCCCTTGTTGGATCACACAAGAAGCACCACGCAAACACACTTGCACACTCATAACACACGTAGCTGGTCCATCCCTGTCATTTGTTCCCAGCCTCTCACCTCTACTGCACAAGGGGCCAGCCCTCCCCTCAGCCCTCCCACCTCTCAACCTCTCAGTTCTCCAAAAGGAAGTGGCTGATGCAAGACATCCTGGGTATTAAGTTTGCTTTGAGGGGTGGAGCTGAGGCCCCGGGTGACCCTGCCCCAGCCTGCCTTAGGAAGCCAGCATTCCTGCACAATACCCACAATCCCTCTGGACTAAAACACCAACCTCCTGGGGCCAGAGAAGACCAGCTCAGATTCCCAACACTCTGGAAAGAGTGAGGCTTGGGAGGGGGCCATATTTGTGTGCAAACAGGGTCTGAGGCTCGGGAGGGGGCTACATTTGTGTGCAAACAGGGTCTGAGGCTCGGGAGGGGGCTACATTTGTGTGCAAACAGGGTCTCAAAGGTTACTCTGTACCCCACATCTGCTTAGCACCCCCTGCTCTCAACCCTACCCCCACAGTATCTAATAATCCCCCATATGTCTATCTCTGCAGAAATATCTTCCCCTCCAACCTGGTGTCTGCAGCCTTCCGCTCAGTGAGTTGGGGGTTTCCTGAGGGGTGACGGGTGGGGATGGATAGGGAGGAAGACAGCCAGTTACAGCCCTTGTTACCTAGATTGGGGTGGTACCTGGAAAAATGCAGGTGCACCATGGTTTCACCTGCATTTTGGAGGGTCCTTGGGTAACCCCTGAAACCTATGCAGGCAGCTTCCCATCAAGAACTGAGAATGTGGGCTCAGAGCTCCTTTTGGGAATCTCATTCTAGCTGTGTGACCTGAGGCAAGTGTCCTAACCTCTCTGAGCCTCAGGTTTCACCTTTAAAAAATGGGGTTATTAATAGTCCTATTTAAGTGGAGTTGCCAGCAGTATGGTATGAGACCGTTTAAAGGCTGCTGAAGTCATTGTTGACTCTTGGGTTGGGGGAGTCTCGATGATAATTGATATGGTGATCATTGATACGCACTCTTTCTAACCAACCCCCTGCAGTATGCTACCTCCTATGAAATGAAATCGGTCCCTGGAATCTACAACAGTACCCTGGTGAAGGTAAGAGCCCAGCAAGAGTGGTGGGGGTCCTAATCCTTGGCTCTTTGTTCTGATTTCCTTTCAGAAGTGCCTGAGAGGTGTCAACAATTTACACTTCATTAGGAGAAAGATAAGGCTTTCTACTCCCATAAAGATTTACACCCTCGGAAACCCTGTACAGGGTCGCTATGGGTCGGAACCGACTCGATGGCACTTAATAACAACAACAACAACTAACCTAAGGAGCTCTGGTAGCGTAGTGGTTACGAATCGGGCTGCGAACCGCAAGGTGCAGCTGCTCCGCATGGGAGAAAGATGAGGCTTTCTGCTCCTGTAAAGATTTACAGCCTCGGAAACCCTGTTCAGGGTCGCTATGGGTCGAAACCGACTCGATGGCACTTAACAACAACAACTTAACCTAACAGTTGGGGATTTGAATCCATTAACAGTGCCACAGAATAAAGACCTGGCAATCTGCATTGCCAATTATTACAGCCCAGAAAATTCTAGGGAGCAGTTCGCTGTAATAATCGACAAGGGGGTGGGTTTGGTTTGGGTTTTATCCCCACCCCCAGCCTTTGTCTAACTTCTCCATCGTCTACAATTTGGTGCAGCATTTTATTTAATCTCCCCAATTTCTGTTTCTGCTTTTTTTTTTCTGACACTTGAATCTCTGTACCCTGCCCTCATTCAGTTCCCTTCTTTCTTTCTTTCTTTCTTTTATCTGCCTAGTGTTCCACCCCAGACCCACACCCTCCCATCCACTCTTCCTCTGGCAACCAAAGATGTCTCTCTAATGAAGATACAGGGGTACTTTTGTTTGCATAGGGCTAGGATAAGCACTGGACTGTGAACCATAAGGTTGGTGGTTCGAGACCACCAGTTGCACCATGGGAGAAAGATGAAACATTCTGCTCCCACAAAAGTGACAGCTTTGGAAATCCTGTATAGGGTCTCTATGAGTCGGAACTGACTCGGAGACACTTTAACATTGTTGTAAGGAGCCCTGGTGGTGCAGTAGTTAAGTGCTCGGTGGTTCACAGTAAAGTTGGTAGTTTGAATCCCCCGAGCAACTCTGAGGGAAAAAAGACCTGGTGATCTGCTCCCACTGCCATCGAGTAAATTCGGACTCGCTGCGAACCACAAGGTCAGCAGTTCGAAACTACCAGCTCTTCCACAGGAGAAAGATGAGGTTTTCTGCTCCCGTAAAGCTTTACAGCCTCGGAAACCCCGTACAGGGTCACTGTGAGTCGGAACTGACTCCACGGCACATAACAACAACAACAGTGACCCCACGGAACACAGTAGAACTGCCCCACAGGGTTTCCAGTGTGGTCTGCCTTATCTTTCAACCTCAGAGTGGTTGACAGCTTCGAACTCCATGAAGATTACAGCTTAGGAAACTGTGGGGCAATTCTCCTCTGTCACATGGGGTCACCGTGGGTCAGAATCAACTACTCAATGCACACAACTGTTCTGAGCTGTCACGTTGATTCGAACTCATGGTGAACTCGTATGAGCAGAGTAGAAGTCTGCACCATAGGGTTTTCCCTCTTGGAAGCAGATATCTTGGCCTTTCTTCTAAGACATGGGAGGGGTGGGGTGGGGGGAAGGGCTGAGTTGAACCACCAACTTTTTGGCTAGTATTCAAGTGCTTAGCCAATTGTGCCACCCAGGGGACCATCAGAGAGGTCTTTTTGACCCTGCCTGCCTCACCTTTGCCCCAAAGTCTTGCTATGGTTCCTTAGTACCTTCAAGAGAAAGACAACCAAAACTCCTTGCCACCGTGCACAAGGCCCTATGAAGTCCGCAGACCCCTGCCTGCCTAGGTACGTGACCCTATCTTCTGCCTAGCCTCACCTCGTACGTGACCCTGTCTTCTGGCTCATTTTACTCCAGCCACAGTAGATTTCTTCCTATTCTTGGAATGGAATACCCAAATTCTACTCATTTCCAAGCCATTCTGTTTGCTCTGTCTAGAACCTTCTATCCCACCTGTTTACCTGGTTCTCCTTCCTTTCCTCTACATGTCAGCTCAGATAGTCCTCCAGGAAGTCCTCCCAGACTTCCCCAAGCTGGCTTTCTCTCTCATTTCCCATGTTTCCCTGCCCACCCCAACCTCAACCCTGCCCACTCAGGCTTACTACCCCTAGGGACTCCCCTCTTCTTTGAACTGGGGGCAGGTATCTTGTGGGGGCACCATCTTGTCACTGCTGGGTCATATTGCAGGTTGACTGAACTCGCCTGGGCTGTTTCTGCCCACAGGTGCCCGTGGGGGATGAGGTGGAAGGCATGAATATCCTGGGCCTGGTGGTGTTTGCCATCATCTTTGGTGTGGCCCTTCGGAAGCTGGGGCCTGATGGTGAGCTACTCATCCAGTTCTTCAACTCCTTCAACGACGCCACCATGGTACTGGTCTCCTGGATCATGTGGTAGGTGACAGGAGAACCAGACATAGGTGGAGTGCATCTCTGCAGGGTCGGGACCTTCCATCTGCTCCCTGGAGCTAAATGACCTGGATTCAAATCCAATATCTACCATTTTCTGCCTGGGTGGCCTCAGTCAGGCAAATGTTTTATCCTCTCTGTGCCTCAGTTTCCTAGCTGAAGTTGATAGTACCATCCTCAAAGAATTATGTTAGCTCTGTCATAAGTCATCCCCGATTCACGGTGACCCCATGCACCACAGAATTTAATGTCACCCAGTTCAGCACTGTTCCCATGATTGGGAGAGGACCGTTATGATCCATACAGTGTTTTTATTGGCTGGTTTTAGCAGTGGATAACCAGGCCTTTTCCCCTAGTCTGCCTTAGTCTATCAGCTCTGCTGAAACCTGCCCAGATCATAGCCACTTCCCTGACAGATGGATTGTGGCTGTACATAAGGTGTATTGGCTGGGAATTGAACCCAGGTCTCCTGAACAGAAGGCAACAGTTCTACCACCGAACCAAGATTCTGTTGTTGTTACGTGCCATCAAGTTGTTTGCAACTCAGAGCGACCCTGTATAAAGTTTTGAGGCTTTACATCTTCTTAGGAGCAGAAAACCTCATCTTTCTCCCACAGAGCCACTAGCAGGCTTGACCAGTGCTTATTGTATAAAGCCACCAGGGATAAACGTGTTAATGCATGCAAAGTTTATGGGATAGCCCTGTCCTATATAGCACATCTACAGGAAACAGTAATAGCTAGTATTAACTGATCACTTTATTTCCATCACTTGTGGGCACATCCCATTGGGCAAAAGTTGGGCCTGTGGCCACACATAGCTGTGCATCATTGTTACTGAATCAGTTCCAGCTCATGGTGACCCTGTAGGACACAGTAGAACTGCTCTCTAGGGTTTCTGAGACTGTAAATCTTTATGGGAGCAGACAGCCTCATCTTTCTCTCATGGAGCACCTGGTGGGTTTGAACTGCTAACCTTGTGGTTCAACTCATAACCCACTATACCACCAGGCAGCTGGGAAATTTTGCTTTCCTTCTGTTACTAAAGAGGATGATGGGTATTTGGAAGATCTTTATCCATGGTAATTGTGTTAATTTCCCATGATGGTGGTAACAAGCAATGTGGTTTAAAACAACAGAAGTTGATTCGGTCACAATTGAGGAGAACAGAAATCTGAAATTAAGGTGTTTTGCTCATTCTGGAGGCTCCAAAGAATAATCTATTCCATGCCTCTCTCCTAGTTTCTGGTGGCAGATGGCATTCCAAGGCTTGTGGTCACATCACTCCGATCTCTACCTTTATCTTCATATTGCCTTCTTCCCTGTCTTTCTCTCTCTCTCTCTTTAAAAAAAAAAAACTTTATTATTTGTTGCTGTTAAGAATAAACACAGCAAAACCCACCACCATTGAGTCAAATCCCCTTATAGCAACCCTATAACACAGAATAGGTAAGCACTGGACCGTTAACCATAGATCTCAGTTCAGACACTATTCAGAGTCACTGACTCGATGACACTTAACAACCATAACATAAGACAGTAGAACTGACCGTGAACATTTCTGAAGCTGTAAATCTCTATGGAAACAGGCAGCCACATCTTTCTCCCTTGGAGCAGCTGGTGGGTTCAAACCACTGTCCTACCCATGGCCCAGTGTTTAACACATTGCACAATACACAGAAAAGCATACAAATTCAACTGTTTCTACATGTTCCATTCAGTGACATTGATTGTTCCTCCCCTGTTGACATAAACTCACTGTTCCCTGTGGATCCTATATAACCTTTTAAATTGCTGTTGTCATTTTGTTCCCATAGAGAAAGTTTCCAAAAGAGTATAATGCTCAAGGCAGACATTCTTTGCTAGCTAAGCAAAAGTATTGTGTTTATCTACTCCTGTATAAGTCGGTACCGACTCATAATGACCCTATGTACAACAGAATGAAACACCGCCCGATCCTGGGCCAACCTCACAATTGTTGCTACGTATGAGCCCATTGATGCTGCCACTGTGTCAATCCATCTCCCTGGGGGTCTTCCTCTTTTTCTCCGACCCTCCACTTTACCAAACATGATATCCTTCTCCAGTGACTGGTCCCTCCTTGACAACATGCCCGAAGTATGAGAGACAAAGTCTGGCCATTCTGGCTTCCAAGCAGCATTATGGCTGTATTTCTTCCAACACAGATCTATCTGTTTGTTCTTTTGGCAGTCGGTGGTACTTTCAATATTCTCCACCAACACCATAACTCAAATGCATTCATTCTTCTACAGTTTTTGGTTTTCCGTTGAAAATACCATGGATTGGGTCAGGTGTACCTTAGTCCTCAAACTGACATTTTTGCTGTTCAACACTTTATCTTTGCTCTGATATATGGTAACTATATCTACTCTGATATATAGTAACAAAGGGGGAAATATTCATTTAATTCCTAGTAAAGGTGGTAGGGGTTTCTTGGAAATGGGGTACCACCCATTTCTGTACTTATTTGATCATCTGTGGCAACGATGGGTGTGTGGTTTAGTATGCTAATAAAGAAATAGTGACTCAAACAGAGGTCATCATGCTTCTAAATGTCTGTGCCTAGGTTTAGGTAAAGTCCCTGTTGTTGTGTGCCGTTGAGTCGGTTCCGACTCATAGTGAGCCTACACAGGGTTTCCGAGGCTGTAAATGTTTACGGGAGCAGAAAGCCTCATCTTTCTCTCGCGGAGCAGCTGGTAGTTTGGAACTGCTGACCTTGCGGCTTGCAGCCTGATTCGTAACCACTACGCTACCAGAGTAAAGTCCCTAGCTGATGATTTTCTCTTTGTGGTTGGTTGCAGTAATTTTGATTAGCTGGTTCTACTTGGTGGTTTGACCTTTCAGGTTCTTTTCCTTTCTGGTTGACTCTTATCAGATGTCCCAGGTCCTGCTTCCTTTCTCCTTGCCCCTAGGTTGTGCGTATCAAGGAGTTCATCCTGCCTCCACTGCTCCAGAAAGTCTGGAGTCCATGAGAATTTGAAATTCTGTTCTGCATTGTCCTTCTTTTTGATCAAGAAAGACTCTTCTATGGAATTTTGGATCAAAATGTTCAGTAATGGTAGCCGGGCATCATCCAGTTCTTCAGGCAGTTATTCCTGGAAGCAATTAGCCACACTTTCCAAGCATATGTTCTCATAAGAACATCAGTCATTGGATTTATGACCCACCCCAATGACATCTGCAATGGCCCTATTTACAAATAAGGTCACATTCTTAGGGAACAGTGGATAGGAACTTCGAGAGGATACTGTTCCACCATGAAGACTATTGAGCAGTCAGGGAGGAGGTCTGGAGAGGCCTCCTGCCTGCTATGTACTTGGGGTCTTCACTCCAGGAAAAAGTGATCATAATGCTTCTTGCAGTTTACTGATTATTTATTGAGTACAGAAAAGGGGCCCTGTTGGCACCAAAAGACCAGCAGTTCGAATCCACCAGCAGTTCTAAGAAAAAAAGAGGTAGCAGTCTGCTTTCATAAAGATTTATAGCCTTCGAAACGCTACGAGTGAGTTCTGCCATGTCCTATAAGATCCCTGAGTCAGAATTGACTCAGCAACAGGTTTGGGGTGGTGGGTTTTTTTAATTTGTTGTGTACAGAAGACTTTCAACTCAGCATCTCATTTAATCTTCCCCACATTCCTGTGAAGTTGAGCATTCTCGTCCTGTTTTGCAGATCTATTAGATTTGAATTCCACAAGAACGGCATGGGAATCATATAACAGGAGCTCCCTCTTGGACTTGTTGCTGAGATTCGGTTACGTCCAAGGGTCCCGGTTAATCATTTGTGCATGACACCTTGTTAGTAGCCAGAGAGTCAAGCTGATTCCAGTTCATGACAACCCTCTAGGTGTTTTCTTGGGAGTTATTGTCATGATGCCTTTCTTCCCTGGTGTTGCCTGGTTTGGTTCTAAAGCCAACCTTTAGAGCAGTCCAGGACAAACCTTTGTGACATTGGTCTCTTTATGTTTCCAGATTTGGTGGGATTCTGGTAGCGTAGTGGTTACGAATCGGGCTGCGAACCTTAAGGCCAGCAGTTCGAAACTACCAGCTGCTCCGCGGGAGAAAGATGAGGCGTCTGCTCCCGTAAAGATTTACAGCCTCGGAAACCCTGTACAGGGTCGCTATGGGTCGGATCTGACTCGATGGCACTTAACAACAACAACAACAACAATTTGGTGGGATAATGTATCAGCTCAACGCCTTCAGCACATTAGGTAGCCGGGGCAGCGCCTCCTGATGCAAGGAATGCTGGGAAGTGCGATCAAGTGTTCCTACCTACCTCCTTTCCCTCCTGGCCATCCCTTGACCTAGACTCCGCCCACCAACAAGGCCACGCCCATCGTCTGGTTGATGGTTATGTGCGGTGGAGTCTGTTCCGACTCAGCGACCCTGTACAGGGCTGTAAATCTTTACAGGAGCAGAAAGCCTCATCTTTCTTCCATGGAACCGCTGGTAGTTTCAAACTGCTGACATTGAGGTTTGGAGCCCGATTTGTAAACACTATGCTACCAGAGCTCCTTGCCCATCATCTAGACCCCAGTTGTTCAGTGTGATTGAATCTCTACCACAACCCCAAGAGGGACCTCCTATGAGTCCTTTGCTGCTGTCTGAATGAAACAAAATCTAGTAAAACTGAGGTCATGCTAACGAGTGTCTGGCCCTAGCTCCATGGTCACGTGGTCACAGTGGGTCTCTGTCTCCTGGGTGATTAGGTATGCCCCTGTGGGCATCATGTTCCTGGTGGCCGGCAAGATCGTGGAGATGGAGGACGTGGGGACTCTCTTCGCCAGTCTGGGCAAATACATCTTGTGCTGTTTGCTGGGCCATGCCATTCATGGGTTGCTGGTGCTGCCCCTCATATACTTCCTCTTTACCCGCAAGAACCCTTACCAATTCCTGTGGGGCATCATGACCCCGCTGGCCACCGCCTTCGGGACCTCCTCCAGGTATGACCTGAGGGCGGGATTTTAAAGGGGGTGGAGCTTGGATTGTGGGAAAGGGGTTACGTGCCTGTAGGCCCCAGAAATTTTGTGTTTGGGGATGTTAGACCATAAAGCTTCTCAGAAGGTTTTGGTTCTCCCCTCTGGTGCCCCTCCCATCCAAAAAGGAAGCCACTAGAAATGTCTTCCTCCTTTCCTAAGACCTGTCCCTCTAGCAGCTCACCTCCTCCCTCCCAACAACCCCAACCATGGGACTCTGTGACATGCTGGACCCGGACCCAACCTCCATGGTTATTATTTATCATTTGTGGAAGGTCCTGCCCAACAGCCCTCTCCTCACGGAGGGGAGTGAGTCTTGGGTGGGTGGGGGTAATCCATGATTGGTAGAGCGAAGTGTCAGGTTGAGCAAAGTGTCAGGGAGTTCACGAACATTTTAGAACAGGAGCGTACATTTTTACATGTGTTTTGAATGGGGAGCAGTTCTTGCTCTCTGAGAGTCCAGGACCCATACATGTTGAGATCCTGGCATTTTATGGGTTGTGCAGAACCTTGCTCTGGGAAGAACAAGGTGAGTTGAGGGGGTTGTAGGTAATGCCGGGGAGGGGGGCATGGAAAGGGTGGGTCTAGGTTGGGGAGGGCTTGGTTAGGACTTGGTGGGAGGGGCCACCAGGGGGAATTAACTCTGGATCCCAAGCCCCTCATTCCCCTGGCCCTAGACCACAGTACCAGGGGATATTAACCACCAGTCGTGCCTGGGTTCTCTCATTCCCCGGCAGCTCAGCCACACTACCACTGATGATGAAGTGCATTGAGGAGAAGAATGGGGTGTCCAAGCAAATCAGCCGCTTCATCCTGCCCATTGGCGCCACGGTCAACATGGACGGGGCGGCTCTCTTCCAGTGCGTGGCTGCGGTGTTCATTGCTCAGCTCAATCAGCACTCCCTGGACTTAGTCAAAGTCATTACCATCTTGTGAGTCGGGGTGACCGCACTGAGACCCCCTGGTCCAGAATGGACAAGGTTGGGGGCACCTTGGGGAACAAGATTCTTCCAGCAACTTCTGCCACTGCTGGGGGCCTTCAGTGACCTCCTGTTTTCCCCCACACAGGGTGACCGCCACAGCATCGAGTGTGGGGGCAGCGGGTATCCCAGCAGGAGGCGTCCTAACGCTGGCCATCATCCTTGAAGCAGTCAGCTTACCTGTTAATGATATCTCCTTGATCCTGGCTGTGGATTGGCTAGTGTGAGTGTGGGTTTGGGGCTTCTGGGGGGCCCAGAGGGGCGCCTGGGAAAGGGGTGAGCAAGAGGATCGTTGAGAGTCTCTGGGTAGAAGAGTCGAGGAGGGAAGGCATTCTGGAAGAAAGGGGGTGGGGCCTTAAATGTTTCAGTAAGAGGAAGAGATGGGATCTTCCGGTTCTAAGAACACCGGAAAGAGCTAAAAAAAACCTCCTGTGGCAGGACTGTTAGACCAAACTGCCCAGGTTCAAATCCCAGCCCTACCATTTTCCAGTTATGACTTATGGGCAGGGATGTAAATCTTCCAGTGCCTCAGTGCCTCCATCTGTAAAATGGGGAGAAGAGTTTCTCTTGTGGGGTGGTCTTGATGAGGATTAAAGCATCCCGCGCCCTCACACAATGCCCAGTGGGTTGTAAATGCTCCAGAATTAGGAGCCGTCATAATTAAGTTGTTAAAGATTGGAAAACAGCCAGGCAGTTCCTCAAAGTTAAACCGGGAGGCACCGTGTTGTGATTAGCTGCCAAGTTGATTTCTGACTCTTGGCGGCCCCACGTGTGCAGAGGAAAACAGTGCTCCATGGATTTTAAAACTGTCCTTTTAGAAGTAGATCACTCCGCCTGACTTCTGATGTGTTTCTGGATGGATTTGAACTGCTAACTTTTTAGTTAGCTGTTTGTTAAATGCCATCAAGTCGGTTCTGACTCATAGTGACCCTGTATAGGGTTGCAAGGAGCGACTGGTGAGCTTGAACTGCCGACTTTGCAGTTCAAACCAACCTTGCAGTCCAGTGCATTAACCCACAGGGCACACACCAGGGCTCCTTTTTGCTAGTAGTCAGGTGCTTACCTGTTTTACCCACCGACTCCCTGACTCAGTAATTCCACTCCTATGTATATACCAAAGAGAATTAAAAGCATATCCACACAAAAGCTTATTTATAGAAGCCTGGTTTCTAGGAGTCAAAAAGTGCAATAAACCAAATGTGTACCACTTGAATGTACCCGTTGATATATTAACTAGATATACCACATGTGTGTACATACAATGGAATGTATGTATGCATCCTGGTGTGGTGCTGTAGGATCTGCACTGGACTGCAAACCACAAAGTTTATGGTTCAAACCCACCAGCCACTCCTTGGAAACCTTATACAGAGTTGCTATGAGTCAGAACTCACTGTACAACACTTAAGAACAACAGCAACATATTCACTAGATATATCAGCTGTTCTTTATACCTATAGTGAAATTATTCTTCGAGCATATAAAAGAATGGAGTCCTGAAAAATACCACAACATAGATGAACCCTGAAAACATTTTTTGAAGTGAAAGAAGTCAGTCACATTATATAACTTCACGTGTATGAAATATCCAGAATAGGTATGTTGTTGTTACGTGCGTGGAGTCGGTTCTGACTCATAGCGACCCTGTACAGGGTTTCTAAGGCTGTAAATCTTAATGGGAGCAGAAAGCCTCATCTTTCTCCCGCAGAGCAGCTGGTAGTTTTGAACTGCTGACCTTGCGGTTCGCAGCCCAATTCGTAACCACTATGCTACCAGAGCTCCTTAGAATAGGTATAGAGAGAAAGAAAGTAAATTAGTGGTTGCCATGGACTGGGCTTCTGGGGAGAGAGGATGTGGGGTGACGGTTAATGAGTAATGGTTCTTTTCTTTAAATGTTTTATTGTGAATTATATGACAGTTTACACAGGAGAACATTAGCTTTACATTTGTCCTATCATATATCATTTCATTGCTGTGATTACAATCCTCCTGGTTTAACTTTGAGGAACTGCCTGGCTGTTTTCCAATCTTTAACAGCTTAATTGTGACAGCTCCCAATTCTGGAGCACTTACAACTCACTGGGCATTGTGTGAAGGAGCGGGATGCTTTAATCCTCATCAAGACCACCCCACAAGAGAAACTCTTCTCCCCATTTTACAGATGGAGGCACTGAGGCACTGGGAGATTTACATCCCTTCCCTCATAGTGACCCTGTTTTGGGTTTCCAAAGCTGTAAATCTAAACCTCATCTTTTCCCCCCAGAGCAGCTAGTAGTTTCAAACTGCTGACTTTGAGGACTTTGAGGTTAGCAGCCCAACGCTACGAGGGCTCCTTTCCTTATAGCCTTTGGAAAACCTGGGGTAGTTCTACTTCGCCCTGTAGGGCTGTGGTGAATAGACTCAATGTTAATGGGGTTGGTTTTGAGGAACTAGTTAGGAGTTCCTGGGTAGTGTGACTAAGTGCTCAGCTACTAACAGAGAAGTTGGTGGTTCAAATCCAGCCAGAGGCACCTTGGAAGAAAAGTCTGTTTTTAAAATGTCCGAGTGGGAAAGTGACAGACATCTTTAGGATTCTAGGGATGAGAAAGGCTGATGACAAAGTTTAGTATTCTGGGGCAGAACAAAGAGAGATTGATTGGCCTTGTGGGCCCACAGAAAGGGAAGAGGTGATTTTTGAGGTTCAGAGAAGCAAATCACTTTTATTGTTAAAGAAGGATCACTTGGGGTCCATGGAAACTAGAGGTAGGCCTCTCTGAGATTCTGAAGCAGGGCTTTAATCTGATTCATTTATAGTCAGTGAAGCAACACTAGAATGGACCCAAAATTTAAAAATACAGGTTAATCCGAATACTAATTGGAATGGGAAAAATTACAGGTTAAAGTCTTGCTGGAAACATAACCTCTTTCTTAGAAAATAAGAGCAGCGTGCAAGTTGCATAACAATCAAATCTCTTGGCCAACTGAGTTGAAAATGACTGTGTCCTGCTCAAAGATGGTTGTAACCATACAGTTGTGAATGTACGCTGTTCCCCACGGCCCTGGCCACAACCCAGTCTCCTGCATCAGGTCCTGAAAGGGCTCACTGCACCTCTCCTGGGTCTCCCATTCCAGAGCTTCGACTCATCAATTTCTCTATTTGGTTAGCATTCCAGATCACCCAAATTTTTAAAAACTTGGGTCTACTCTGGATTTGCTTCATGGGTCATGAACCAATTTTGAAGCCTTGCCCTAAAGCAGAGGAACAGGAGGGCAGGGAGGGAGGAGAGATACGGGCTTTGTGGGATTGGATTCTAGATGAAAAGACCTTTGAGGTTCTAGAAGGCAGGGACATTTGGGATCCTAGCAGAATGATGGGATGATCTTTGGGTCTAGAAGTGGGGTATAGAGTTCTGTAAGGGAGGAAGTCAGGAGGAAGTGTCAAGATTTCAGAAGGAGAGGGACAGGAAAGCTAAACCTAGGTTCCTCACCTGTCCATCCCTCCCACTCACTTCCCCATTGTCCCTTTCCCCCCCAGGGACCGGTCATGTACCATCCTCAACGTGGAAGGCGATGCCTTTGGTGCGGGACTCCTCCAAAATTATGTGGACCGCTCAAAGTTGAAGAGCTCGGTGCCTGTGCTGACCCACATCAAGAAAGAGACACCCATTACTCAGCTGCCGGCCCCCTGTGAGGAAGGGAACCCCCTCCTTAAATCCCATCCAAACCCCACTGGGAACGCTGGCACCTTGGAGAAGGAATCGGTCATGTGAACTCTGGTAGGGACCTTCCTGACCCTGATTTTGGGGGTAGGGGTGCGCCTGCAATACTGGAATCACGTAGGATGGATTAATGGACAAAGTGGAGTTTTGGGGGTCCCACTCCCACACTCTAGGAAGCCAAAGGCTCTAGCCTCCTCCCCAACACCAGCCCTCAGAGGCCACACTGTAGGGGTATATGTGGATATGTGTATGAATGTATTTCTCAAATCTCATCCACCCTCAAACATCTGTCCTCCGACCCTGCCTGAGAAACCTGCCAGATTCTGCCCTCCCTTCTCTTAGGGCACAGGTCATGAAGTGGAATGATATCCTTTCTGAGGGAAGGGTGTACTGACATGACATTTGCTACTTTGCCTTTTATTGTTGGTGGCTGCGGGGTGTGCGTGTGCGTGTGTGTGTGTTGTTTGCACATGTGTAGCTTTTATCTCTTGAGACCACCTACTCTCTCCATGCTACTACATCCCACCCTATCCCCGGGCTCTCTGTTCCCTCCACAGTAAAATAAACCTTCTCAGGGCCCCTGGGGGGGAGGCTGAGGATAAATAGTGCTGTCACTCCAAAGGACATTTTTTAGCAATAAAATAGTGTTGACTATATCTAACCAGGTGATTTTCATCAATTGCACTAACCACAACAGAAGAAAAAAAAAAAGAGACAGAGAGAAACCGGATTTCATCAAATAAATTATTTCTTCATCAAAAATGATGCTGTGGGGAAAGTTGGAAATGGGTTGGTGGTGATGGTTGCATAAGGTGATGAATGTAATTAATGTCAATGAATTATATGTGTAAAATGTTGAAATAGCCTATGTTTTGATCTATATCTATCTATATATATATTTACCACAATAAAAAAATTACAATGAGGAAACCAAATGATTATACCAGGACACTCCTGTCAAAATGGTTACAAACAGCTGTGGGCTCTAGGCCCATGGACTGAGTAAGGCTATGTGCCTGCCTGCAGTCAGGAGACTGGCTTGCAGAATGTGCCTTTAGGACATTTAAACGAATACATATTTTTTGTTTTGTATGTGTACATCAATTGTTTTTGCTTTGTTCATTTCATTTATGAAATACAAGATGTAAAAAGGAAGGCATGTGCTGGCAGCTAGGAGGCGGACTTGGAGAATGTGCGCTTTGGTTGTTTAAATGATTATATATCCCTGAGCATTTTTGTGTACATCCAAAAAAACAAAACAAAACAGGGAATAGGGAATAGAAGCAAATACCGTTGAATGATGATGCATGGAGGGGATTGTAATCATTGCAATGAAACAAAATATGATAGGATGAGTGTGTAAAACTGATGTTCTCCCATGTAAACTATCACTCAATTCACAATAAAAACTTTTTTTTTTTTAAAGGGAAGGCATAGGGAGGAAGTAGGATCACTGTTGTTGCAGAGAGGGGCTTATATCATTGAAATGAAACAAAGAGTATAATTGGTTAAATGTAAAGCTTACAATCGATCTTGTCTGTTAACCGTCACTCAATTCACAATATAAAATTTGAAACATAATAAAATAAAATAAATAAACAAAAATAATACCAAGTGCTTGTGAGGACAGGGAGCAACTGGAACTCTCATACACAGCAGGGGAGAATGCAAAATGGGACAGTCACTTTAGGAAACAGTTGGGCAGTTACTTATATAGTTAAAATATATACTTAACCATGGAACTTAGCAACCCTACTCCTGGGTACAGGCAGTGTTTGGATTAGGGACATCTGGTTTATGGATATCTCCAGTTGTTAAATGCCTTTGAGTCAGTTCTGACTCATCAGGACCCTGTATAGGGTTTCTGAGGCTGTAAATCTTTGCGGGAACAGAAAGCTTCAACGACTGGTGAGCTCAAACCTCTGACCTTGTGGTTCAAGGTCTAGTGCTTATCCTACAGAGCCACTGCACTCCCCTACTTTCCCTTTTATGCAGGATTTCACACTGGTTCTGTCATGACTGACCAAGCAAAACTGGAGCAGACCAGAATTATTATAATTTGGGTGATTCCTCACTGTAATTGGATCGTCAGCAATTAGGGGTGGAAGCCCTAGAAGGTGAATCTAGGAAGTGACGTCGTGAGTCCTGTGTGCGAGATTGGGTTGTTGGCAGGACCATGGAGAGCCACACACATTCAAAATGGTGCGCTGGGCTGCCATCTTGGAAGCCCTGCTTTAATGCTGTGTAAATTTGCCCTCAACTTTGAAAGAACTGAACCAACCCCTTGTTTTAAGTGCCATGGCATCAGTTCTGATTCATAGCAGCCCTGTATAGGTTTCCTAGGAGCGTATGATGTGTTTGAACTGACGACCTAATGGTTCAAACCTACAGTGTGGTCCAATGCTTTTCCTATAGTACCACAAATTCTTCATCACAATCACAGCATGAAAGAGCTGAAAAGGCATTAATTTTTTTTTTTTTTTAACTTTTTCATTGTGAATGGAGTGAAAGTTTACAGAGCAGATGATCAGTTTTACATTCAGCAAATCCTACACTTCATTCCATCTCCATGATCGGGATCCCCTCCATGTGACATCACTTTTCCCACCTCCTCTCTGTGGTTCCTGTTTCCATTCTTTTACAACTCTTCTGGATTTTGTCCTTAATGGTCAGCCATTCGAGATCAAAAAGGTAAGTGTTGCCCTTTTGATCTCGAATGGTTGACCATTCCATGGCGTGCATACCTCACTAATGTAGTCCCCCTATATGCCTATTTGTTGCTTGGCTAAAAATTGAGCCATGGGGGTGAGTTCAGTTCTAGACCCAAAAGATGACCAATGGCCATAGACAGGGTTCCACTGGTCTCTGTCTGACAAGTAAACCTGGTCCTTTTTTTGATTTTTAAGTTTTGTTCCACATTTTCTCCCTCTCTATCCAGGACTTACTAATGCGATCCCTTTCAGTTGGTCTTGGTAGCCTGGCACCATCTAGTTCTTACGGTCTCAGGGTCATGGAGACTGATGTTCACTTGGTCCATTAGTCCACTGGACTAATTGGCATCAAGATCTTTCCTTGCACTAAAGAAAGGCTAAGAAAGAACTGTGTGCACCTGTTCTGACTGACCTGCAAATTCAACTTAAAGACATAATTTAGGTGCTGACCCTTGTTCACAACCTGGGGTGTTTACTTAAGAAAAGTGAAATTTCTGTTAATACAAAAGCCTTTGCACAAAGCTTTAAGTTTTTAAGCATTGAGTCAGGTCAAACTCATAGCAACCCTGTACAGGGTTTCTGAGAATAGCTGGTGGGTTTGAACTACCAACCTTGTGGTTAGCAGTCCAGTACAAATGTTAATGTTGTTAAGTGCTGTCGAGTTGATTTCGACCCATAGCGACCCTGTTTAGGGTTTCCAAGGAGCACCTGGTGAGCATGAACTGCTGACCTTGAGGTTCAAACCGAGTTTGCAGTCCAGCCATTAACCCACACAATGCCATATGAGGCCTCCCACAAATGTTAATAGCTGCTGTATTCATTAGTACCAAAATTTGGAGACAATATCTTTGGATTAGCTGAGACATTCATACAATGGAAAGAGGAGTCAGTAAAGAAAATCAAGTAACTGATAGACGCAGTGTGGGCTAATCCCACAGCTATTATGTTGAGTGAAAGACCCCACAACAAAGAGTACATATTGTACGGTTCCATTTCTGTGAAGGTCTGGAACAGGTTAAACTAGTCTGTGGTGACAGATCAGGACAGGGGACACCTCTGGAGGGGTAGTCCTTGTTAAGTGCCGTCGAGTCGGTTCCAACTCATACAGGGTTTCCGAGGAGCAGCTGGTGGGTTTGAACTGCTGACCTTGTGGTGATCCTACAGCGCCCCAAATGGAGTCCCACTGAACCTTTCTTGTTGTTAGTTCCAACTCATAGTGATCCTGTATAGGGTTTCCAAAGAGCAGCAGGTGGGTTTGAACCATCGACCTTGCAGTTCAGTGCTCATCCTACAGTGTGACGACTATGAGGGAGCATGAAGGAAGCTTCTGCAATATAGCAAATGTTCTTGATGTGAATGGTGATAACATTTGAAACAACCTGACCCAAGATTGGTCCTCTCTCTTTCTTTTCGTGGTTTGGGTGACAGTTAAAGAGATTTGGTGGCACAGTGTTGGTTGGCTGACTGAAAGGTTGGCAGTTGGAACCCAGTACTCCACAGAAGAGAGATGAGGTACTAGGTTTACAGCCTTGGGGACTACGGGTAGGTTTGCCTGGCGGCATAAAGTGCATTCTCCACAATGAGACAGCACTCTCCGACTTCCTTCCTGTGTTTACCGGTCCCATTAATCCTTCCAGGTCCCTTCCTGCCTTCTGAGCTTCATCCCTGCACAAGTGCTGCCCAGGAGCTTTCTGCTCCTGTAAAGATTTACAGCCTCGGAAACCCTGTACAGGGTCGCTGTGAGTCGGAACCAACTCCACAGCACATAACAACAATGGTGTGGCACTGTGGGTTAATGCACCAGACTGCAAAGCCATCTGAACTGCAAGGTCGGTGGTTCAAGCTCACCAGCTTCTCCTTGGAAACCCTGTACAGGGTCGTTATGAGTCGGAACCAACTCCATGGCACATAACAATGGTGTGGTGCTGTGGGTTAATGCGCCAGACTGCAAAGCCATTTGAACTGCTAGGTTGGCGGTTCAAGCTCACCAGCTTCTCTTTGGAAACCCTGTACAGGGTCGCTATGGGTCGGAATCAACTCGATGGCACTTAACAACAACAATCCTTGTGGTGCAAGGAACTCTGGTAGCGTAGTGGTCACGAATCAGGCTGTAAACCTCAGGGTCAGCAGTTCAAAACTACCAGCTGTTCCGTAGGAGAAAGATGAGGCTTTCTGCTCCCATAAAGATTTACAGCCTCGGAAACCCTGTACAGGGTCGCTATGAGTCGAAACCGACTCTACGGCACATAACAACAACAACATCCTTGTAATGCAAGGAGCTCTGGTAGTGTAGTGGTTATGAATCAGGCTGCTAACCTCAAGGTCAGCAGTTTGAAACTA